CCAATGCATTATAAACAATGGTTTTCCCCTTGAATTGGTTCTCTTGCGAAACGTTCTAATGACTGCAAGATGAAAGCTTTGACAAACTATGTCTTTTTTCAGCAATACTCAAACTTGGTACAACCAAATGACAACTTGAGGCACAATATATCTCACTGCCTTCAATTGCTACCGTCTGGACCCACAAAAGATCATATGCTGAATGCCAGTATCTATAATTAAACTTAAATTGATTCTGTGCCATGTTTAATTGAAGCATTGCACAACAATATAAAAATCTAAGATTTTGAGTTAAAGACAGTAAGGAAGCATCTACGCATCAATTTTTTTCCAACTCAGATCTTCTACAGAATTACCACTAAAATACCTAAACCAGATTTATTGCTGTCAATGCTATAGCAAACACTCCCTGTGTCTGAGTAAAAGGAAACTTACATAAGGCTGGAGAAACTCAAACAAAAATCTATTTCAATGTGGCTTCTCAACATCAGGAAGAGTACCTTGATCATATCAGCATGGAAAATATTCAAAGTCTCACTCATCAAGGCCGAGCCATACCATTTTCTGATACAGTCCCCAACTTTTGATAATATAAAGCATCTGACTCATAGGTAGCATGCAAAATATTTAAGAATACCAAGATCAACATTTAATCAGCCATCCCTAATTGTCCTCAAGGTGGTGGCGAGGTATTTTCGTGAACCACCACCATAGAATTGGTGTACCCATACTGTTGCTAGGCAGGGACTTCGACCTTGTTTAAAGTTTTTAATCAAATTTATTAAAGTCAATTGACTCAGAATCCAAGGTAAAAATTCCATTCATGTTAAGTTTCACCCACTCTCTGCATGCATAAATGCAGTCAAAATTTCTGAAACGTTCGGATATTTCATCTAACAATAAGCCCTAATATTGAAAATCTTTGAACTGGTATCATGAAGATGATGTTCACAGGGTAAATTCATCACAAAGGACAAGAAGGTCAATATGTTTAATCATGCAGAGTCACATCACGAGGACTTCTGTGATTCAGAATCTGCCAATCAGTTGAACAAAATAAATTAAATCCATCTGTGTGCTGAAGACTTCATCACTGACATGAATGGAACTCTGTTCCCTCTCTGCAGGACTAATGGAAAAGCATTTAAAAGTACAATGGTCTATTGGTCTGCATGGTGGAGGGGGTGGATAGGTGGGGGTACTTAGACTGGTATTTATTAGACTGACGTCCCAACTGACAATAGTGAGACAGGAGAAAAGTAGTCAATAACTCAATAATTAGATTATCATGTGGAAAACTGTGATCATGCACAATACTCACAATTCTTAAAAGAGCTGGTAGCTTATTAAGATTTGACTCTAACCTTGTTTAAACAAATGAATCTATACTAAGTTTTAAAAAAACACGCTTTAATAAGGCTACACTTTACAGAAGCATAAAAGAGTCAAATTCCAAATGAAAGGAAACTTTGGAATCCATCTACGAATCAACTATATATCTCAGTATTTGTGGTAAGTCACAAAATTTTAATTAAGGGTGAGGAGTAGGCTAAATGTCTCAAAGATTGTACCTAAAAATCAGACTAGTGCAACTAATGGCTCAGCTTATAATGAGTCAGGTTTCTATTTGTTTAAGCAAAAATATTTGACTCTGTTTCTTCAAGGTTCAGTGAATCAAGATGGAAAATTTCTTTCAGTTTAGTTTTACAATAAGTGAGGAATACACTGACTGTTGTTCCACTCCAATTAATTTCTAAATCAAAGACAAAGGAGTTGGAGTGAGAACAATCACCTCTGTGTAGTATAAAATTCATTTCTTTCCTCTGTCATCAAAACCATGACATAAACTTTTCATAAGAATGCAATGCAATTTTCATGAAATCATATGGTTTTCCTGAAATGCTTTGAATTGCTCAAGAGGTTTTCATTCCCTCTGACAGAGAGAAATCAAATTAAAAATAAAGTTGACAAAAATTTAACATCAGCTATTGTGGTTCAGTCCTCAATTTTTTTTCAATTTAAATTATTCATCTTGGATATGGAAATTAATTTAAATCCAAAGGATGCTGATTTCAGTATATCATGTCCAGATCTAGACTGGCCATCCATTGCCAGAGATGGCTGGATTATACCAAGCACATTGGGGCCTCACTCTTCACTGCCTCACAGAGACAGTGGTCTTTTTCTGACATCCAGTCTTAAATATGCCACTACTTCCATCAAGTATACAATGAGGTGACAGAAGCAATTATTTTCATTCACTTCCTGAAACTACACAGAGTTGCCGCCAATTCCATCTTCCCCACTGGCCATTATCTTGGGCTGAATGAGACTTTTCGCAATCTCTGCACTTGAGCTGTGATTCGAGATACTCTGTTTCATAACAATCACCTGCACCCACTATTAAGTTGCAGTGTTCTGTCCCAGACTTTGTCTCTGTCACCTGCGGGCTCACCAATTTCATTACTTTCCTGGTGACTTACCATTCTCCACACACTGCGTGCTTCAGTTTATAATAACCTCTGCTGCCTGTGCCGCAATCATTATGGAACTACTGTTTCCAATTTAAAAGAAAATCCTCATGTTCAAATACTTCCAAGGTTTCTGCAAATCTTCTCTTCTTACTTCCCCAAAACTATAGCTCTTCCAAAAATTTCCTGTTTTTCTAACATTGATCACACCCCTACTGTCTCTTCCACTTGCTGCACTGACCATTGTACCTTTCAGTCTTCAAGGTCCCACACTTTGCAACTCCCTCCATAAGTGATCTGCATCACTACCTCACAAATTTCCTTTCTGAGCCCTCCAAAAAAAAAATCAAACTTCTTTTGTACAAACTTCTGATTGCCCTTCCCAATACCTGGGAAAGATTTTCTACAATGATGTCTACGTCTATATATATTTTCAAAGGGTATAATAAAACATGAATATAGCAGTTGTTATAAAGTGAAGGAAAATCCTAATGCAAATGAAATCATAAACTGCACCAAAACTAAACACCACCAGGTAGAAAGCTAAATAAAAATATAGCACAGTCCAGCAAACAGACTTTTAATAGCATATTAGTGGTAAGGATTTGGTAGAGCATTGGCAGCATCACTGGACCAATATTTCACATCCATGAACTAGTAATATAGAAAAGCATTATAAATCTCACTCCAACAATTCAGGAACTGGAGTGTAGATTTTAGAAAATCAAACTACAAAGATGGCAGAACTTGCTATGAAGCTTTGGGTTGTTGGTCTAGATATTGTCTAATCAACTTGTTCAGGGATGTGGTTACACACCTCGGTCGGACTTGTTTATGTACCCAACAGATTTCTGTTTAGTGACAGAAACTGCCACCCTTATCTGACCTGTCTAGTGAGAGACTCAAAAGTCTGAGGAGGGCAATTCAATAAGATGGCCCACCAGCAGTTTCTCAAACCAGCATTAGCCATATACTGCAGTCTCGCCATGATGCCATTAGCCATATACTGCAGTCTCGCCATGATGCCATTAGCCATATACTGCAGTCACGCCATGATGCCATTAGCCATATACTGCAGTCTCACCATGATGCCCATGTCACAACATTGAAAAAGAATTCTGGTAGTTTGAAAATCCAAAACTGCTGTCGTTCTAAATAACCTGACATCAGATTTTAGAATTTTATATTCAATTGGGAAGAGAAGTGTGGTTTAGTATGAATGGATTATGAATACATCTGGAATCAATTCCTCAAATGACTGTGAACCCACAGTTAAATGCAAGTTGAAAGGCATACAACCCACAGTCAGTGTTCTCAGGAGGTGCAGGGTCATATTTGAAGAGTCATTTCTGATTTACATTATTTTCTTTTGCCAATATTTACGGTAAGCTCATGACAGTCTGTTTCCCGTATACTTCAGTCATCTTCACATGGAACAAAAACAGAGTTGAATCTGTGAGGATATCCCCTATTGAAAACACTTCTCCATAGATTCTTATAACATGCATTACATTTTCCTAAGTTAATTGTTATTAAAGATTGACCAGGACTTGCAAGAAACAAATATAGGAAGAACAGCAGTTTAAAGACTAATTTCACGTGATTTACAGATGATTCAGATTGTATCACGATTAAGTGCTTGAATGAAAAGTTTTTGAGGTTTACAATAGCTCATGATATTATCACTTTTCCAACAATCATTATTATCTGTAGCATAAAATAATGTTTTTAAATTTGTTTAAAAAAATCAGTGATTCGGTACGTAGAGTCATACAGTAATACAGCACGGAAACAGACCCGTTGGTCCAACTCGTCCATGCCGACCAAGTTTCCCAAACTATCACATGCCACAGAGATACTAGAGAAGCTGAGTTTATTTGTCTCTTGTGCATATTCGATCAAATTAGATTACTAATTGCCAAAAGCACATGCAAAGTCCAATCTCTTTGGACAATATTATGAAAAGAAGTAGCCGAAGTAAAAATCAATCATTGTGCAGCTGTTGGACACGTAGTTAATAAATGCTTATCTTGAATGTCCTTTTTAAATAATGCACGTAATCAAGAAACCAATTACAAGTCTCCATAAATTTTCCTTGAAAACAGTACTTGTAAGAGATTATGTTTCTGAGTGCAAGTTTGGATTTGAAGTTGATCTCCACTCTAGTCTGCTTAGTTTTACGTGTTAGGTTATGAGAACAAAAAAGAAGAAACTGATGTTTGCAAATGCATCACTTTCGCAGCACAACATTTGTACAGTACATATTTCGTCTATTACCGCCCACCCATCTGCCTCAATTTCATTCACATAAATACCCACTAATGTTTCCAGATTTCAGTGCTGCAATTACTCTCTCATGATTACTGTTGCTGACATTCATAATTTGGCGGCAGACTTTATGCCAATGAGTGTTTTCAATAAATACATAATCTGTATTTTGAATTCTTTCCAGAAACATTTTCTCAAAGAAAATCAAAAATTAATTGACTGTTACAATCATCTAATATGTATTATTAAGGACAAACTTACCTAAGGTATCTTTTAGATTTTTCACAATAGAAGCTTTCCTTGCACTGTTCTTTCTTTCCACGTAATTTGAAGGTACAAAGCCAGTTTTGTTTGTGGAATTTCGAACGCGCCACCATGATTTAGAGTCATCTAAGAGCCACAGTCGCTCATTCTTCTTTATGTCGAGCTCCTGCTCCTGCTGGGCCACATAGTCAAACTTGGCAATCACTATCACCTCTTCCGTCATCTTCCCGTGGGTTCCACACTGCATGTTCAAAGAGAAAGGGATTAGTATTGTAACAGAATGCAGATAGACAGCCTGTAAAATACCACACTTGCAACATTTCTAAATGGAAAGAAGCTAACTTGTACATACATTTTAAAAGCTGAAAAGACAAGCAAGATCTGAATTGTGAATGAGCTTCAATCGGGTGGTATACACAAGCTTTAAGGAAAGCAAGTTTATGAACCGAGATTCTCGTCTCCAAAAGATCATCTAAACAAAACTTTATGACTTTTAAGAGGAAAATTCAAGTCTTGTTTTCCATTTACTTATGTAGTTAATCCAACATAGCAACAACATTTCTTGGACCGGTGAAAGTTTCCAATCTCGTCAGCCTCACTGAACCAGAGGGCTGAGAGTTCAATTCCCACTTCGGAAATTTGAGCACATAATCTAGAAGAACACT